GAATTTCTTTCCGTTCCTCAAGGACCAAGGCCTCTTGTAGTTCGAACTCGACTCGATTGCTTTGGCCATGCAGCCTGCGCAAGAGCGCATTAAAATGCTGCCGCATGTGACTGTTGCGCTTCTTGAAGGGGCTCTCCAAAGAGGTTTTGATCAGGCCTGCAGTTTCATTGTGTGAACCCGTCAAGTTGAACCCTGAACGGTTTCTGCCTTCCCTGGACTGGCAGGTGGGGCACAGACGACTTTCAGCTTTCGTTCCAGCTCTAGAGGGATTAAGCTGGAAAACAGCGGCTTCCACCCACATTGAAGCTTTTCTCCTTTTGGAGCCGATCCTTTTCGAGCTTCTCCGCATTTGCCAGAATGGATTAGTGCCCGATCTTCTGTTGGCAAATGTGGCTTGGTGCCAAGAATTCTTGAGGCAGCTGTTAGAGTGTATCTTTTCTGGAGTGCCTCTTCTGGAGTGTTCTCTTGGAGTGTCGTCTTGAAGTTTCTTTCTTTCCTGAGAGTGAGAGAGTTCATGCAGCGTTGGAAGACATTTTGTTTTTTGCATCTTCTGAGAGCAGAGAGTGTCCCATGAGGCGCTGAAGGCCGCGCACGCTGCCAAACCTTTGCAGATGAACACTGGAGACAACGAATTGGGCTTCGAAGCAATGACTTCCTTCTTCCTTCAGAAGGTGCGACAATTGACTTCGAAAGTCAGAACTCTTTCAGCTTGTCAGTCTTCGTGGGACCAGCTGGAGAAGAAGTTGGGCAGCAGGCAGCGAGAGTGCATGCTTCGCTTAGTGAGATGTATCTCCCCACACTTCCATTGTGACACTTCGTTTAATGAGTCTCCTCCGCCACTCCCTCTCGCAAGTGGATCACCGGTTGCAACTGACAGTGGGACAAAAGCTGTCGGTGACAAGCAGAAGTGCATGGATGAGCCAATGGAAGAGGTGCTTCAGGTCGACTTTGTGCAGATGTTCTTGGGTCAGTCCGGCGGCTTCTTGGACAATGCCATCCAGGCAGCGAATCAGTGTGCCATGCAGCAAATGCGCATCTCTGTGGCTGACGGCCCAGCTGCGCAGAAACATTCTTCCAGCAACCGCAAAGCCAAAGTGCGCAAGAGTGTTGCCAAGGGAAACACTTCAAAGAGGACCCTCCAGCCAGAGTCGCACCAAGAACGAGACCTATGGTGGCGTAAGCTCGATGGTTTGAAAGCATGCCCGTTGAAGACATGGTATGACAAAGATCAACGCAGGAAACTCACTATGAGCGGAAAAAATTTCGCTTCCCGTGTCTATCACTATGTAGACCGGCAACTGAGCCGGTCGATGGCCAAGATGGCTCACAAGAGCGCCCTGTCATTTGTAAACGATTTGAAATAGGCCACACCTGTTGTACTTGACAACAGACATGTCCACTGTGTGGCGGCCCTTCCAGCGCTGGATTTCCAGCGCTTGAGTCATGACATGCAAGTGCACCTGCCCTGTCAAAAGTTGAGAACACGCCTTGCTTGCAGGTTTGTCACGCGAGAATGAACACAATTTGGCTTTCCAGAGTTCCAAGAGTGTTTTACTTTCCAGCTTTCAATTCCCAGAGATTTGCCATTTGTATTGGAGTGATGATCTTCTCAAGCTGTAGTGATGGCCAAGCACAATGATGGAAAGCTTGTCGACGCGGCGTCGAGGCCCCACTCTGCCAGCACCATTGGCACGAAGCCTGTGAATTCTTGGGTTGGAGACACTTGGCTTCAATCTTTCAGAATAGAAAACTGCCAGGAAAGCAACATATATGTAAACTCTCCACTCTCAGGCTCATAATTCTTTAAAATCGTTCTCAACTCAGCAAACCACTCATAGAAATCCCTCAGAAACGCTCAGAAAAGGTAACTCTCAGAAACACTCTTTGAACACATTTTCTTAGCAGAAACTCTCTTTGAACACATTTTCTTAGCAAAAAACAAAAACAAACACTTTTACACAAGACATGTCTCTTAAAAAGACCTTTCCAAAGTACCTGGTAGCTTGAAGCATCTTGAAGCCAAGGAATGCACCTGTACAATTTGTTTGCGGTTCGAGACTTTGTGCCAAACCAGGAAAGACGGAGAACCAGGAACCTCAGCAGCAGACCTCGAAGAACCAGGTCGCCCTTTGAAGTTTAGGCGTTTGGACGCTCAGATCTTTGAAGATTGCGCAGGAGAATAGCTCCTTGTACTTTCTATACCGTATTATAATTAGTGGCGAACATGCAGCTCCAGCCCCTGCACGCAAACCATCTTTGCGTGATAAAAGCGCTCTCAAGTTAGTCCAGGCCATTGAGGCGCACGCACTTTGCCAAGAGGCCTGGCACTGTTAATGCTTGAGAGTTTTCACTCGCAGTTGCCACCCAAGCAGGTAGTTCCCTCTGTGTGTGTCACCATGCAGATGGCCCCGCCAAAGACAATTCCACCGAAAGGGAAGGCGAAGGCGGCACCAAAGCCAAGACCTGTACTGGACCCTATGCTTGTCCAGCGAACATTAGCTTGGCGGCTACCTCTTTCAACTTTGAAGAGGCACATCGACTACCTGAAGAAGTCTGACCCTTTACTGATTTTCCTCGACATATTCTAATCTTCTGGATTTTGAGGGACTTTTCTTCTGGAACCTTTATTGAGAGTTCTTGAGGGTTCTTTCTTTCTCCAGGTTTCTTTTCTGGCAGCTTTCCATTTCTTATTGACAGCAACACTTGTTCCAAGGATTGGCGTAAAGCCACTTTTTTGGCAAAGCGGCTTCAAAGAGTTGCGCGACAACGTGTGCACCTCCCATCGACAAGTGGTTCAGACTGACTGCACGCTATACGCGAGTGTGCTTTGACACTCACGTAAATTTGACTAAAATTCGTGGATTTTCGAGAATACTTTCGCTGGAGGAAGAAAAATGGATTCGGCGTGCTCTCTGAGAGTGATGAAAACTTCACTTTTTCCATTCATTTTTTTGAACCCTACTTACTATCAAGAGTTTATAATAAACTATCACTAGTCTATAATAGACTATCAATAGTCTATCATGAATAAGATATAAACAAGTGGATAGTCTATAATAGCCTAAGCTATATCCTATTCCTTAATAGACTATGCGGAGCCGTAGGGCGAAATGCAGGCGAGAGTGCCGCTCGTCCGGTCCGCGCGCAACCCTCTGCGGAGATCGTGCGGGTCGAGTGCGCGAAATGCAGGCGAGAGCGCGATTTGTCCGGTGTGCGCGCGACCCTCTGCGGAGATCGTGCGTGTCGAGTGCGCGAAATGCAGGCGAGATTGCCGCTCGTCCGGTCCGCGCGCAACCCTCTGCGGAGATCGTGCGCGTCGAGTGCGCGAAATGCAGGCGAGAGCGCGATTTATGAAATTACCGCGCAACCCTCTCCAAAGATCGTGTGTGTTGAGTGCGCGAAATGCAGGCGAGAGCGCGATTTGTGAAATTACCGCGCAACCCTCTGCGGAGATCGCGCGTGTCGAGTGCGCGAAATGCAGGCGAGAGTGCGATTCGTCCTGTGCGCGCGCAACCCTCTGCGGAGCAGAGGCGACTTTGTAGTACAACGCGGAGTAGCCGGGGAGCTGGAAGATGAGAACTGGCGACTTGGTAGTACAACGTTAGTACGCGGAGTAGCTGGGGAGTGGGAAGATGAGAACTGGCGACCCTGTAGTATATCTTTAACGCGGACTAGCTGGGGAGCTGGAAGATGAGAACTGGCGACTTTGTAGTAGAACTTTAGTACGCGGAGTAGCTGTGGAGCTGGAAGCTGAGAACTGGTGAGTTTCTAGTAAAACTTTAGCAGCAGAGCAAGCTGTGGAGCTGGAAGCGGAGAACTGGCGACTTTGTAGCACAACTTTAGTACGCGGAGTAGCTGGGGAGCTGGAAGATGAGAACTGGCGACTTGGTAGTACAATGTTAGTACGCGGACTAGCTGGGGAGCTGGAAGATGAGAACTGGCTACTTTGTAGTACAACGCGGAGCAATCTGTGGAGCTGGAAGCTGAGAACTGGCGACTTTGTAGTAGTACGCGGAGTAGCTGTGGAGCTGGAAGCTGAGAACTGGCGAGTT